GTGCTTTCTTGTGGTTATCTTGGTTTGGGAAATTCCTGGAGTTTTTGACCTGGTTTGGAGTCCCTTCACTTATCTGTTAGGTATGTAATCATCAATGACCTCGTTACCATACTGTAGCCAATTGATTTCTATTGTTTTGTTTTGTCCCGAAAAATAAAACCTCACTGAGAGATTCTGCAAATCAGGGTTAGACTTCCACTGTTTTGGTTTGAGGCCTTAAATAACTGATAATTGTTTATCTCAATGACAGGATATAGCGATCCTGCAAAACCAGATCTTCCTCGACTGCATGAGTGGCATTTTAGATCCGGGCTTGATCGTTATATTTGGATAATCGGAATGATCTACGCCTATCTTCACCCCAATGTACTGTCTTAAAACATTGTACTTTCGCAGTGTTTCTTGGTTGATGAATTTTTGAAGTCTAGTGATTATTTCGTTGCAGGTTGAGAAGTGGATGGAGAAACTGGAGGAGTGTGACTCAAAGCGGAGACGCTCAATCAAAACATCTGTTGTTGTAGTTTCTTCGATTGTAAGTCGCATAATTGAATTCAAAATAGAGGGAGCATGACATCTGTTTGTATTTTAGATGATTTATCTGATTGTTTAGTAAATTTTGTTATCTGATTACTTGCTAATGATCTGTTGTAGGTTGGCTATTTGTGGTATGAATTCATCTACAAGTTGGACAAGGTTGCATATAACAAGCTCCATCCATACACATCATGGATTCCCATAACGTATGTCCTGAAGATTTAAATTGACATGTCCTTACTCTTCATTCTCATTTTATAATATCACCTGTCCTTTTTGGGTGGGGAGAATTTCTATTATTAAGCTTTAACAGATTCATGTGTAACAGGACTTACCCAGAAAGATTTCCTTAAAAGATCTCCTTCATAGTTTGCTTTTCTTTTTCCCAGTGTTTATATTTGTTTGCGGAATTCTTGTCAGCAGCTTCGGAATTTTTCATTGACCCTTTTTGCGTAAGTTCTTCATCGTTTTTATTTGAAGTCATTAACTGCATGTCAAATATGTCAAATATATACAATAGTATTCAATAAGACTCGATGCCCCTCTATGTGAGAGGTTCTCTCATTATATAGAAACCAAAATAACAACTAAATATGATAGCAATCAATTACAATATTAATAAATAGTAAAAACAATCTATCCATAATA